TTGTGCGCCCACCCCACCCGTTCGATATGAAGGAAATAATACCCTGGGGCGTGATCACGATTAGGTATTTCATAGTGTATGCGTGTTTGTATTGAGAAAAAGTCTGTGCCCTTGCTAGTACATTGGAAGGTTTCTCGATGAACACCTCGAAGCAGTCCACAATGGCAGCCACATTGTTCCCAAATGACTCCACAAACTGGTGTGGCATACTGGTCAATAAGCATTCCCTACTTGGCCAGTGCACCAATGGACACAGCTGTGCGTACATCACACCAAGGGTATGGTGAAAGGCATCGGCGACTGTTGTCCTATGTACTCTAAACAGATGGCTGAGGTGCTGTATTGGAAGGTCCAGTCTGAGGCGCATTAAAGTCAATAGGACAAGCTGGAAGGGTGAGAGCTTCTTCATTCTACCTTGAGGCAGATCTGGAGTTAGGTAGAGTAGAAGTGTCTGGACCAATGCAAAGTTTGGAAGCCCCGTGTAATACTTCACTGTGTTATCACCACTCAGAAAGTTCTCATTCATCCGGTACGTATCAAGCTCACGCTTCAGCTGTCTGTTTTCTTCAAGAAGATTGTTGATAACATCTCGTCTAGATGTGCAGAGTCCACATTCCATGTCCGGGTCAGCTGGCGGCTGGTCTAGGGCTGGCGGCGGCGGCGCCTGCGGCTGGTCTAGGGCTGGCGGCGGCGGCGCCTGCGGCTGGTCTAGGGCTGGTGGCGGCGGCGCCTGCGGCTGGTCTAGGGCTGGTGGCGGCGGCGCCTGCGGCTGGTCTAGGGCTGGTGGCGGCGGCGCCTGCGGCTGGTCTAGGGCTGGTGGCGGCGGCGCCTGCGGCTGGTCTAGGGCTGGTGGCGGGTGCAGCTGGTCTAGGGCTGGTGGCGGCTGCAGCTGGTCTAGGGCTGGAGGCGGCGGCGCCTGCGGCTGGTGTTGGGCTGGAGGTGGCTGCCGCTCCAGTGGCAGGGACCTGCGCCTTACTTGCCGCTGATATCTCGCTTCATCTGTTTTTTGTACATCATTGTGGCCTAACAACAGGGATGGTGTCCAGTCAGGGTGGTTCTCCAACATCTCATATGCTGGTTTACCTACACGAGAATAATAACAACATATAATTAATATAATAATTTGCACAATCTATGTAATCAATGCTTTAAACTGGCAACTATGTCATGAACAGCATCTCAAGTACTTTTTAGGTCACCTCATAATGTCATATGAAGGTTTATGTACAACAGAATAATTAGATTATGTGTACAATCTATGTAATCTATGCTTTACACTGGCAAAGACCTCGCAGAACACGTGCTAAGTAAGAAACAGCCTGAGAGGGTAACAAAGACACAGAGACAAAGGCACTACAGAAACCATAATAACATATGCTAACCTACACTTCCTAGCTTTAAGAGACAACTACATAAATACATTTTTAGAGAACGTACCAGAGTGAAAATGCAGAGAACACACTCTCGTCGACAGGGGTGTGTGATCGAAAGTAAGGTCCTTTCTTCTAATTGCAGCCAACCAAGCAATCCGACGTCTCCTTGTCAGGTCAGAGAATTGCTCCCCTTGATGCTTTTTCCATTTCGGTAACCTAAAAAACTGTATCCCGTTGTTACTAGGTTTTCCATATCCATCCTGGGAGGTATTGGAGCAGTTTTTAACGCAGCAGTTATTTCCAGGCATGATAAAACAGTGCGGAATAGCAAGAACCTCCGCTACTACCGCGTTCACAACACACGTAAACAAACTGTACTGCCGCCACCGGTGCGCAGCCAATATGTCGGCAAAGGGGGGATGGGGAGGGGGGACTCTGTGCCGTGACGTCAACTCCTCATTCTCAATTGGGACTGGGCCTTCCTCCCCCAGACGAATAAACAAAGCCCACCCTAGCCCCCTGTTGTTTCGGTCATCACCTCATTTGACATGCAAATGTCTTCTGTTCTCTAGATGTTACAGACAAGGCCCGCATCCTTCCACCACCTGAAGAAGATGTGCCAAGTCTGGGATCGCGTCTTAAATTCAGACAGAAGACATGTTTTATTGTCGATGGTAGAGACAGCACGAACAACAGATACAACAGAATGCAAGTGTATTATACAGAGCGGAGGCATGGAGACCTCCAATCAGCAGCTTCCACGTTGTACTTGTAGCTTGGCCTTCAGATAGACAAAACATGAAGTGGAAAAGTACAGGCTTCTGCACATTGATAGAATGATGAGTTTAACTTTAACAAAAGTTGCTTAAAAGTGTTATGAAATCTCACATTCCCCCCCTCTGGTCACACATTCACGTGTGACCATCAGGATCGATAAACAGCAACATAACATCATAACTCAATACTTAAACTCGGTACTTCAAAAAACTCAGAAAACTCATAAAACATTTTCAAGAATGTCAGCTCTGATAAAAAATTACATGACTTTAAAATTTTTATACCAATATGCTTGTGTTCTGAAAAAATAAAACCTTTTAAAGCTTTTCCACGTCAACATTTATTTTTCAATATGTACACTTAAATGTAACTATATATTCAATATTACATTTTGAAACATTAATATTTATCTTCCAACAGAACTCTGTACCATTTTTCCTTACCACTCCAGTTTTAACAACAAAAAAAGTAAAAAGATGAGTAGACATTTTTTTTTAAAGATTTCTAAAAACTTTCTTGAAGGACTTTGGTTTTAATCATGTTCTAGTCGTTTACGTCTCATTCAAATTCTGAAGTTGTATTTAGAGGGAGTCTGATCAAATACATTATATATATATATATATATATATATATATATAATATAAAACAATTCCTTGTGATATACAATATTTTAAAAAGGAAACAACTACCAATAAAAAGGGCAATGTGAAATGAATATTTTCATCCAAATTTTGATTTTGTTTTCCTGCCTTTAAAAGTTTCAGAACCCCTGTCCTACACAATGTGTAAAATTACTAAATCATAGTGAGTGAACAGATAATTCCCAAATGAACAATCCACATCCCTAGGACAAAAAAAAAAAAATGGCTACATCTACTGCAGAGGGAATTACAAAGGTGTCTGCTGCAACACACAAACATGCAGTTGCAGTTCACAAAACTGATACATTGTGCTTCTAAGCCTCTATAACTCACCATTTTGAATTTTCAAACACTTTTTATATTTGAACAATGTTAGAACAGGGTCAAAAGTGAGGATTCCTTAATTCAAACTTTAAGACAGCTTTTTAAGGAGTGAACTGTATCTCACAGATGCTCTTGGTTTCACAGGACTGAGACCAATCAGTAATCTCTGAAAAGTTTCAAATGTGTGCTGAAGCTTGGGTGGGTATTTCAAGTCCAATGCGTATATAACGCCAACAAGAATACAGGAGGCCTTGGCTACAGTGCCCAAACCTGTAATGCATTGAAGGCCATCAATGCTGATCTCGTACGTGTCACCAACTTTGACAATCTTCACTGGATAGGCGATATTCTGCCGAGTGTCTTCAGTTTCCTCCAGACTCTATTTGAGAGGGAAAAATACATTAGACATTGATATGTTTTGATAGTCAATGCAATAGGTTGTGTTCACGTGTTAATTTAAAACTGAGGTGGAGGGCAAGTGAAAATTCCATGGCGTTAACTATGGTAACTGGCAAACTGCATATTTTTTGTCTTAGTTTTTGGTTAATGAGTAGTAGTACTCCTAGTATTGACTGAGATCATTACTAGGAGAATCCACATGAAAAAAACTGTCTCAAAGTTCATTGACTCCTCTTTCAGCACATAATGATTTCAAAAATTGTCATTGGTTTATATTATAAACCAATGACAATTTTTGAAATGATGAGCGTGATGTTGGTCAGTAGAAAGGACTTTCAGCCATACAAATAATAAAGTGGGTTAGTAAATCTAATCACTGTCAAATACTGAAGAGGAAAAACATTTGTCAATTTTTGTTTGAGAGTTCGTACAAAAACTGTATTTCTCCCATAGAGTTGTATTGACAACTGCCCATCATCACATTCTAAAACGTGAACGCAACCTATTCAGAGAAACTGACGGCTGATGAGCTGTGCAGACATTTTCAAGTCGATTATATCTGTTTAATTTTGAGATTTGTCACTAAATTACATAATTTGTGTCTAAATGCATCAGTAACAGCTTAAATATATTTGATACAACACATAAATTCAGCCATTATGTATGTTATAATGTTGCAGGAATTATTTGACGGTACAAATATATATTGTTTGTTCAATTAATGTTTAGAAAAAGTGAGCACACTGTGTGGAATTTCTCACATTTCTGCCTAAATTAGTTTGACAGTAACATTAGACAATATTTGAAGAAAGAAAAGAACTTCCACAAGGAGACGGCGACATGAGGTGCCAAACACATACGCACATACTTTCCCTTTTGACGAGCTGCCATTTAGTGAGTACTAAAGAGCAAAATAAGACAGGACAATGACCCCTGCCTCTGATTGTAGTTTCACGTGCGTTTCAGATAGCACAGTTTTGTGTTAAATATCCTGTGGTATCACTTACGGAGCGCGCATGTGAAGTCATGCGGTAGTTGCAAATGTAAATAATGGTACATGGCAAATCATCTCCTTTACCTACTATTAGAAGTACCAGACACTGATATTTTATTGTCACAAACTCATGTTTTTGTCTTAAAGCATAGCGATAGCGGGTTAGCTCAAGCTTCATCATTGTTTTGTTTAGTTACACTGCAGTCTGGAAAGAGGAGAGCCGACATGCGCAGAGGGATACAGCCGAGCATTTCATCCAGAGCGGTTTTGTAGCCACGAATTACATTTAAAACTCGGTTTAGAGCGGCGCTATACTGTGGAGTTTTCACCAGATTATCTACTGTAAGAAAGTCTGAATATCTACGTTTGATCGGCCCCTCTGATCGGCGCATTTCACCAATCACCGATCACAAAAATTAGGCCGTGATCGACCAATCATGATTGGTGACAGATCAGATCGGTGCACCTTTAATTCATACCATACAGGTCCAGCTGCTTTAGCCAGCTCATGTTCATTCATGTCCAACTGAAGTTTTCCAGTGACCATTCCATCCAGAGGGCTGGGGGAATGTCATATGGTCAGATGTTTGTGAAGGCTCTCATTCATCCAGGGAGTGTCCATCTTATAAAAAGGTTAAATCATCGCCAGGACTGGGTTTTGGTAAAGTTGAGTGATATTGAAAACAATTTGAATAGACATTTTTGGCAGTTTTGGTTCTCTCCTTCTGGAAGGAACCTGGGTCTTTTTAGTTTTTAGTCCAGTTTGGGTAAAAGTGTTCTTTTATGACTTTAAGAGCTCTGAAGAAGCTTGTGTCACTAAAAGCGAAACATCCTCAACTTTACCAAAACCCAGTCCAGTAGATGATTTAACCTTTTCTACATGATTGTAGATTATTCTATGGTCAAATGAGACCAAAATGTTTTTTAAATAATCTGCATATGCTGACTTTTAGCATATGCAGAGGATGAAGAGGATTTGGTGATACTACTACTCTTAATGATAGACATATCAGCATAAGGTACGGTACTTTTTTTATACCCTGAAAAAGAAAAGATTGGAAATTTTACCTGTAGATCTGAAATCAAGTCTCCTGGCTTCTCCCCCATGTATTCAATTAGGCCTCGGATTACGACTTCCCTCCTCTTTTCTATAGCAGCGGTTGGATCCTACGAAACAACATAGAAATAAAAAACACCACGAATTAGGAAGTATTCAGCACTTCTTATCTTGAATATGTTTTCATATTTCTGATTGTGTTCATTTAGATATAAAAACGTATATAATGGCAAATGATGGAAAATCTCCTCTCTTGTTGCCAAGGACTCACCACAAATCTTGCAGGGCACACTCATTTATGCTCTAAATTACAGAAACAAAATCAGTGTGGCCCATACCAAACAGTATCACATGCAAGTATTGTAATGTATTGTAAATACAAGGGATGCAAGAAGACCGAAGATAATTTGTTTGAAGTGTATCAAGCGAATAAAAATATCTAAGATTGCTTGACAGCCCTTATTCATATTCAAAATATTATTTAACAATGAGCATTACAGTAAAAAAAACTCCAGACCCAAAAACGTTTACACCATTGAGTCACTTTAAAGCAGTTAAGATAAAATGTTTTACATTACAAAAAGCATAAACAAGTCTGGAGCAGGATCCACCCAATGTATAATGCCCCCCCCCCAAAAAACTATTGCATCCCTAGCGAGTACATTACATTCACTTAATTTATTAACAGTTCTTTTTGTATCACACTTACCTCCTGCTGTAGCTTTCCTCCATCAATTGGCAGCAGTGAAAGGAAAAATCTAAAATAAAATAAAATAAAATTAATAAACATGCTTAAAAATACTCTTCATTGGACAAATATCATAAGCATTTAAACAGGCGGTGCTGCTTTTTACATATAAAAAATGCATTAGATTAGTACAAACAAAGTGCTTTGTGCATTTTGCGTTACTACACGTGATTCCACAAAAAACATGCTATACCACAACATGTACCTGTCTTTAGCTGAATGTATTACCTTGTCAGGACTTGACATTAAGTGCTTTGAGGTACTTGAAGTGGCAGGTATTTTTTACTTGCCCGGAAACAAAACCTACTTGTCCAGCAAAATATCGTTTATTTCAAAATTAACATGCCAAAATGTTGTTCATATGAAATGCGAATGTAAGTCACATTAGATTTTTAACATTTCCACTCTAATTTTGTGACTGCAATAGGCTATAGCAGTCACCCTCAGTATGTTCTTTTAAAAATGCATGTTTATAATGTATCACTTATACTTTGTTTGGGTTTTTTAAATGTGCTGCAGATTTCTGAATGTATTTGAACTTATCATAACTAACCATATAGCTGCACATTGGCTAAAACAGACAGGCCTTGATATAATACAGTGATGCTGATGCGGACGGGTCATAACATTAACAAACATGCAGTAGCTGTTAACTTAACGTTAGTTTTCTGCTGAAACAAGCTACTTTCTGACCGCGAGGAAATCAGAGCGATCTCAGATAGCAATAAACATGTTTTCTGCCTCCGCACCATGCTCTGCACCTGTCTCCTCCTTGAGAGTCGCTCCGCTGAGCTAATGTAACTAGGGACTTCTGCGGGGAAATGAACTGTCCCCAAGAGTAGAAAATAATAGAAGATTAATAAATGTCACGTGGCTTCTGTTGCCAACTGTATTTTCCACTTGCACCTCCGGCAACAAGACAGAGCAGGACAGTAGCGACTTTGGTCTACTTATGTTAGCTGCGTACCGTTAGCAACAGCTAGCTAGAAGCTAGCAGCTCCAAACTGCGAAAACTACGCCTGTTATTATGGTTCAGAACATTTAAGGGGTTGTTGGTAATGTTACGAGTCTTAACACAAATCACTTTGCTAAACAACGAAATTGTAGGACCATTATACTGGCACAGTTTTATGCTAACAACATGTTTGGGGCTAGAGTAGACAGTTAACATGAAGTAATTTTGGACACGAACTGCCAAGAAAATAAAACGACGATTTGACCACAGATTGTATATATTTGATCAAATACGCGACAAACCTTACAGAGAAAGCACCATATATTTAAAAAATCTTACTTTGAGTTGGATCTCACGGGAAACCACACGACCGTGTCCAAGGCTGGCTCAGCGCCCATCACCAACAACAAGCTCGCGGAAACGGTCCGAACCGGAAGCGAACTCCCGCCCAGTAGAAATTACTTTGTCTGAACACTTATTGATAGCGTCAGATTTAAGAAGCACTGCACTGCCAACAATATTTTTTCAAAATTTAGTTAAATACACACACAAAACGTATTTGTGGGTATATTGTTTTTGTTTTAGTAAATGGAAATTATTTTTCTAATATTAAAACCATAAGAATAAATTTTAAGTCCGAAATTGCAAATACAAGTACTTAGGTTCAAAGTTGCGCTTGCAACACTTTTCTCAGTGTGCAGTAGTTTTAATGTCTGCGGGTTATTCCAGAGACTGGCCAATGTAACCCTGCTCACAAGTGCCACCTGGTGGTTGTTTTGGTCATTGCAACGTCACTGGGAGGGGGGAAAATAAAAGACGCGTGAATCACACGAGACTCACGTGTGATTCACGCGTGAAAGGCGACAAAACGGAATGGGACCTACTGTAGTAACGCCGTTACTAGTAACGCCGTTATTCCCATCACTGTCCATGACCATTACAGATTCTCCTGTACAGATGGGACGGATCCCAATGTCATTTTGTTTAAATGTGTCTAATCCGTGTACTTCTTTTCATGGTAATTCAAGTTTAAACACTTCTCAGGCCGCTCCGGGTAGTACATGTGCTCCATACTTCACGGTTCCTGACTCAACAGGGACTAATCCTCTGAAGGGTGTTTTGTGGCTGTGTGGCTTCAATGTCTATGTGAAGCTACCATTTAATTGGATAGGTCGTTGTGCTCTGATGACGGCTTCAGATCACTCTTACATCATCTCTACCATTCCTAGATCGCGAGGTAAGCGCGATTTTGCTGCTCATGATGCAGTTTGGGGGACGGACGTTCCAGATGATCACAAACTGTGGACCAAGCCAACAAAAGTACTTCTCTCCTTGTTCCCCCAGGTCGGTGTAGGGAAGGTTATGCTTAGAATGGAAACCTTGAATTATCGGTTTTCAAGTTTTGTAAATTCAACTGTAACTATTCTAGAGGCCAACAGAGTAGAAGTAAATGCGTTGCGTGCCGTTGCTTTACAAAACAGGATTGTTTTGGATCATTTGGTTGCCTCAAGTGGAGGTGTTTGTGTTTTACTTAATCAGACCGCTTGTTGTACTTATATTCCTGATAACAGTGCCGATGATGGGATCATTGCACAGGGCATTCGAAATCTGACTACCCTGCGCGATGCGGTTAACCGTGATTTCGTTCTAGATGCTTCATGGTTTTCAGACTGGCGAGCGTGGTTGATTCAAATAGGTACTGGACTTGGAGTAATATTAGTACTGCTAATAGTGCTGTCATGTTGTGTCATTCCTTTGATCCGCTCATTGATCCGACGTATGATCTCGTCGACACTCGTTCAACACACTTCTCTTAACCTGCACGTTAACTGTCTTGATGAGGACAGTGATCCATTTAGTGAGATGTTACTTGATGATTTTGAGTAAATTGGTTTGTATGTTTAACCCATTTTATGACGGATTTTCTTAAACCTACTAGGTGTGAAAATTTTGATGTTCCGGGGTTTCTTATATTTTACTTATATTTTACTTATATTTTACTTATATTTTTAGTACTTGATAGCATGTGTGTGATTGATTTAAGATAATCAAAGGGTAGATTGTTATGGTCAGTTCCCGGCACCGGACCATTCTAATCATTTGGTCGATACATGTGCCTTGTTTCCCAGCATTTAGAGATGTATTACACAAAGACTGCTTGTCTGCGGTTCTCTTTCTCATAGCCTTGGCCACCATCTGCAGGTGCGTTATCTCAAAAGTACTCACGGAGTGTGCTTTCTTATCATCTCGAAGGTCTTTTGGTGCGCTTAATGTATCTCTCCCAAACTTTCCCGTCTGCAGCTGCGTATGACTCATCTCTCTTGTGACGAATGTTCATTGTTCTGTCTGACACACCTCCAGTATAAGATTATCAACACGCTGGTTGAGGGAAACAGACAGACACGGCATCGGTCCAGGTCCCGTTTCTGTCTGGCTCCTTTCTGCGCAGAAATGTCATTTTGTACTCATCACTTCTGTAAATAAACTGCACAAAAGGACAAGTTTGTTTCCTCTCGGATTTATTCATTTGAGGCATTAGAATTTCCATAACAACGTGCGCGTGCGCGCATGTTCTCAGCTCGCTCAAAGATTCCTCTGCTTCAGCGTCTGGCTGAATATGAGCATGCGCTCATATTCTCAGCTCGCTCTGCCTAAACAAACACGGGCCCCAGCGGACGCAGCCGGCTGAGCGACTGTGCGAGAAGCCTCTCACTCATGCTCTCAGGCCCGCGCAGTACGTCCTGCTATCCCAATCGCAGGCCCGCTTTTTGGGGATTATGCACGCGAGCAAGCGCCGTGCTCAACAGCATCCCTCCCGGGCCTAGGGCGCCAAACATGCTCAATCAATAAACATGCTTAAATCTAACGGCATTTTCCTCATGGGTCTCTCCAATGTGAAATGGAGCTTTCGCAAAAGTTCACTGTGGTAGACCCGGCTGCTGCTTGCCCAGATCTACAGGCTGCTCTTCCTCGGCTCATCAGACCAGCAACGCCCACATCCAGCCAACCAATAACCACCAGGACAGCAAGTTAAAAGCCGGAGACTCCCACTTCCCGGCCTTCTGAAGTCTGCAAGCCTCCGCCGCCCCACCTCCTCCTCTTCTCACCAAAGCGTGCTTGCCTCTGCCTCTGCCGCCACCAGTGCCTAGGCCCCGGGGGGGGATTATGCACGCGAGCAAGCGCCGTGCTCAACAGCATCCCTCCCGGGCCTAGGGCGCCAAACATGCTCAATCAATAAACATGCTTAAATCTAAGTCTAACGGCATTTTCCTCATGGGTCTCTCCAATGTGAAATATAATACCAAAAAGATACTAAGACCTAAAGCCAAGGGAGAAAAGGTGTCCCATTTCAGCTATTGAAAAGGACATCACATCCTACAGCAGTACTGAAGTTGTCATAATGAATATGGGTATATTTGGTTTTCAGTTTTTACATCAACAATGATGGAGCATATTAATCCCTGTCTAACGTGATGTGTCAGCAGCACTGTTAAATCATATATAGAAGAAAGCAGATAGCCACAGTCACCACTCCCTCCATCTTCAGTCCTGTTTAAGCTTTTGAATAATGTTTTCGCGCATATTCCTCCTCTCCCTCTGACCTGTCTTTGGCCTGCTCTAGTGGTTCTGCTCTCTGATTGGTTGGAAAATGAGCCCAATTACCGTCAACTTGATGCAGAGTGAGAATTTATGAATGTATTTTGATATATTTGTGTTGTGTTTGTGGCAGATCTACACAGTCCATCTACAGCAGGGATGTCAAAGTCAAACACATCAGAAGGCCTAAAAAAATCATTTGCTACAAATCGAGGGCTGGTTCAAAGTTTATTAAAATGATTGCATATAACCTATGGACCTAAAACAGTGTCTCGTATTTTATTTTTCAACAGGCTCACCTGTGATCAGTGTGGAAAGACCTGCCGCTATCCTTCAAGCTCTAGTTCACAGGTCAAACACGAGCAAAACACACAAGTTTGGTCTGGGTGAAGCAAGAAACCATTTTAGAGTGTTATGAGTGTCAAAAGTGAGGCTTACTTGAACAGAAACAGTTCAATTCAAAGAAAACCCTGAGTGATATAGCCAAGCTTTAAATAAACTAACAATAAATGAGTAATATCTACTTACTGGGAAAAATCTATTTAAAATAACTTTGATATCTGAAGTAGGATTGAAGTTAGGGTTTACAGTGGCGTGTCCGCACAGGTGAGAGACCTTACCGAGGTGACCAGTGTGAAAAGACTTTTACACAGTTAAATGTCTCACCGTGCACCAACGATTCCACAAAAGAGTTTAGACGCTCATCTTGGAAACGATGGGATGAAGTCTTCACCCCGCAATCGTCACCAGAAAAACATTTGTCTGTGAAAAGTATGGGAAGGCTTTTACGCCAGAGACAAATTGTTGTATACACAATAAAACCTGTAGGAACCTGGTCTGAAGCACTGACTGTAGAGATGGACACTTTGACAACTCTGTAACTGTTTGTGTGCTCTCTGTGATCCAGGGGCTTTTATTTTTTATATTGTCTTCATAAATTCAGATATGTGCGATTACGATTGACCGATCAGATTTCCTCTTTTGAAGGGGAGACCATAGCTTTCCTTAGAAAACATCTTAGCAATCTGCCCCTGTTGTGACAAAAAGCTCACTGTATATCTACATTACTTAAAAACAAAATACATTTGCTGACATCACCTTTAATCAGAATTAAAACAGAGTCAGATACTTATTGTTCTTTTAATCCATTCAAGTTTTTTTGAAACACACATTTCAACTTTGACAAGAGGTTTAATTTTCATGCAGAAAATAATAATACGTATTTTTTTCCAAACAAAATCATTTTTTATGTTATACGTCTGGAATTACAGTTGGCATAATGTCTGCTGATTGAGGGTCTGTTTGGAGCTTGGAAGTTGGCGTAGCTTCAGGATACAGAAGTAAAATCGACCTGTCTCCATGGGCATAGGGATTTTGGAAAATGTCAGGTGGTTATAATTAAAGCAAGTCTCGAAGTTTGAGTTCAGGAAAGATACATAAAAGATAAAATCATACAATGGACTGGGATAATTCAAAAACAATACAAATGGAAGAACATAAAGATGAAAGATGGATGAGAGGCGATTGAAATCAAGAAGTGGGACGCTCGGTTTATCAACAGAGACGAGGGGGGCCTTCAGCTTGGGTACCACATGGGACTCACTTCTCCAGAGACCACAGTGCGTCAGGGTCAGTCTGATGGATCTGCCTGTTCTGCCAGACTCACCACATCCAGGTAACAGCAGCTGATAAGAGACATAAGAGACACAATCGCATGTCTCCTCTGACAAAGGCAGACTGTGAAATGTCAGGTACTTACGTTCCGTCTTATTAGAAGAACCGCATAAGGAATAATTTGGTTTAACTGTGAGATCTTTTCCCTGGAACTACAACACCCAGAATGCTTGGCAGTCCTGCAATCATACAACAAGGCTTTCCATTTGTTGTCTTTTGGTAACGCTTGGGTTCGATTCCACCTCCATGCCTTTCTGTGTGGGGTTGGATATTATTCCTCTGGGGGCTCCGGTTTCCTCTGGGTGCTCCAATTTCCCTTACAACTAAAAACATGTACCATAGGAATGCATATAATGAGAGAGCGAATGGATTGTCATGTTCGGTATCTCTTCACTTCTGTCGTTATAATTATTATAAAATTGTGTGTCCTTGGTCTGGGAAATGTACGATATAAAGATGATCTACTTATTTTTGCAAAAACTCTTAAGTGTCTAAAGAAACACATGCAAAAGAGAGATTTTTGAAAAGCCAGATATATTTCAAGGCAATAAAGTCTCAGCCCTTCTTTAGAAAATCCCCTCACATTTACTCTCAGTGACATAATGTGTTCAATATTCACTGTGAAAACAAAAGTCACATGCTGAGGGATATGTCAGTCCTCAACAAGTATTCTGTCCTAGTTTTTTGGCATTTTCTTGAATAAAAAATATGAAACACTCAAGCTGTGGTTGATGCTTTGTGGTTTAAAGCAGTTTTCGGCACAAAAAGAACATGGGACTCAGACCAGATGTGTTTAAACCATTACACAATTTGCTTACAAGCATCTAACATCCGTACAAATCTTTTATAAGAGAAATGTTTTGCATAATTAACTTTTTTGAGCTTTCAATCATAACCCCTCAAAAAGCAGACCTGGAGCCGTGCTATATTTCACATATTGGAATGTTCCTTTGCAGAGAGGCTGTGCGCTCATGTTCCTTTGCAGAGAGGCTGTGCGCTCTGTGAGAGATAGACTGAGGAGCTCGGGTACATGGGAGGAGCTTGGAGTAGAGCCGCTGCTTCTTCACGTTGAGAGGAGCCAGTGAAGGTGTCTCAAGCATCTGACACTTGCTTCCCAGATGCCTTTAGGTGTTCCAGGCATGTCCCACTGGGAGGAGACCCCGGACACGTAGGAAAGACTGTTTCTCAGTTTGCCTGATGCCTCAAGATTGAACCGGAGATGTGTGTGTGCAGAGGGAAGTCTGGGTGTGAAAAGGGTTGGATGGTTGGCTTTCGTATTAAAGATGCCACAGGTCTATTGCCTCAAGTTTAGAGGGATTTGTTTCTGTGACTTCTGTGTGGATTACCAAATCAAGAAAACACACGGTCTGTTTATCTCAAAACAAACATGGTAACAACAAAAATGTTATGTTTTCAGTGAACTTAAGACATTGTGTATTTTTTCGTCTCCAGACGAAACAAAGCAGGTTTTGATGCTACAAAGAAAATATGAGGCATCTCTTCTTTCTGTTGGAAATTGTGAGGATATTATTTTTCTAAGCTTCTTCCTGTTCTGTACACCAAGTTACTGTACACCATTTAAAATTCATTCTACTCTTGGCTTTTGTTGTCCTTTAGAAGAGAAAAACATTGTATTAATGAATTAAAGAATTGACCTTTATTTAACAATGAAAGTTCTGCTGAGATTTCAGAATCTCTTTGTCAGGGGAGTCCTGTCTCTAGAGAACATGCAAACTCCAGTCAAAAAGGCCGTGTCTCGAGGTGGAATCAAACCCAGGACCTTCATGATGAAAAGCAAGAGCGCTAACCACTCAACAACCGTGTCGTTCCTATGAAATATTTTCATAATGGACTGATTGAAAGACTGACAAATATGTTATGGCTCTCTGAACATGAGATTTGCTTCACAAAGCTGTCGGTACAAGACTGAACTTGGAAAGAAGCCGTTCAAACATTTTGCATCTCAAAAACGTAATTACCTTCAAACATTTGCTAAATTGGACACTCTGGTTCCACTTTTGCGTTTTAATCATTTGGTTTTAGAACTGAAGAATAGAAAACATGCCACAGTTTTGAAAATGTGTCCAAAAGTTGTGTTCATCTTGTTAAAATATTTTTATTTTCTCAAGAAGAGGTGAAATTTTATTTTTATGGCACTAAAATATATCTGGCTTTTCAAAAAGACTGCTTGGTAATGAGAGAGCTTCTCACATAGTTTTCTGATTAACTGTTATTGCAAATGAAATCCCTTGTATTTTTCTAAAAGTTTGTCCCTTTATGAATAAAGCACACATTTAGTATTACTATTGTTAGTGCGTTGCGAGTGAAAGGTTTGACGACCTGCTTTGAAAACTCGGGGTGTAGTCATTTTTGAAAGATAAAAAAATAAAAAAGGGGCGTTAAAGAAACTCCCAAAACTATAACGCCTTTTCCACCAGACCTTCTACTCTACTCTACTCTAACGCTTTAATATTGGCACTGAAACCTAGCATACTAGTATCCAGGGAAATGTGTTGGTGACTATGGCGTCTCTGGTCATTCTCTGTCAGTTATAGCACTTTGGTGTCAGCTCAGTCTGGTTAGAACCAGGGTCAAGCAGGTACTACAAAAGTACGTGGACCAGTAGAGAAGTGCAGAGTAAAGTAAAGTAGAGCCAAGTAGAGCCAAGTAGAGCTGGTGGAAACAGAGCTTATTACAGTTGTTTGGGTCAGACAAAACTATAAAACAACATTGCTTTTTTTAGTTTAAAACTTAAAAGAGACATTTTGTGCAAAATCAACCTTTTTGAGCTTTTAACCATGTAACAACATTGTTTCCTCATCAAACACAGACCTGGATATGTTTTTAGACCCACCCAGGCTATATCAGGAACAATAATAAGATCAGTTTAACACTATGACAGTCGGAATTTTCAAATTTGAGAAAAAAACTAAACAATCTCTGGTGGTCGTAAAGGGAAGTACAGGCAGAAAGCTTTTTTACTTACTTGAAAAATGTGTTGCCGTGTTGTTATTTTCTACTTAAAGCTGAGGTACCTAACTTTGAAAGTCGATAAATCTGCTTTGGAGCCAGGAACACTAGCTAGGGAAAAGTGACAAAGAGAGCACCGCTTTGACAGCTCTCAGTATGTAGAATATAAAGTGTTCTCATGAGATGGAGACTGCATGTTGCAGTCTGATTTATTCACAAAATGTTACCTAAAAAGGACTATTTCTGTTCGGACAAAAAAATATATAATTATGAAACAAAAGCAAAGTTAGGTACTTCAGCTTTAAGATGATATTTCACATTCTAAAACAGGAAAACACAGTAAAAAAAGAATTTGAACATCCACAAACAATGCATAATAATTCTTTTTTTAAAGTATAACCATTTGTTCCATATTTGTAATTGTTCTGTTTTCTCACATACAACACTTGTGCGACTTTAACATATTTTGGCCAACTCAAGAACCAATTTAAAACCTATATCTTTGTCCAATCATCACACGACCTCTCCAGCCGGACCCATGGAAAGCCTCAGGACTTTCACTGGGCCTGAGCTCTCTGCTGCCCCCGGAGCCTGTCCTCGAGAAGCGCACCAGGCCTTCAGAAGAACTTTACTGCGCGATTGAGTTTGTCTTGGGCCTCTTCCTCCTCCTCCTCCTCCTCCTCCCCCTCCTCCACAGCAGCAGCAGCAGCAGCAGCAGGAGAGAGGCGGGGAGGTGGCTTCGTTTTCTAGGGACTGGCTCGGGAGGGACAAGGCCATGGCGGTCGTGTTGGTGTTGGTGTTGGGAACAGAGGTCTGGACACCCGAGCGGAGACAGCGCCCCCGCAGGACGTGCTGGAAGGCGCGGTTGAACTCCTTGCTGAAGCAGGGGTAGATGATGGGGTTGATGCAGCTGTTGAAATAGCCAAGCCAGAAGGTGATCTTAAACACGGTCTCCGAGGGTCTGTAGGTGGGGAAGATGGAGCCTGTGAACACATGAAAGCATGAGAGTATAGAGTTTAAATACGGGGTTCTTACTTATAGGATTAGTTATCTCGGAGGACTTAACAAAACCGTTGAATTTGCCGACACAGATCAGAGAATCAAACAGTTCAAAAAATGCAATGACAAAAAACACATAGGGCCATTGATCTATAAGGGGCAGATGACCAATGTCCAAAAATTATGATAAATGTCCCTAAATGTTGTTGAATGTTGATTCGAGTGGCCTGGATAACCCATACTGTCTGGTCACATATATTCATGGAAAACTACTCATACAGTGCCGGTCCTAGGCTTCCTATGGCCCTGGGGAAAAAAATCCTTGGGCCCGGGCAACTGAAATTCACTCAGGTTGAAAAATCTGTTCAGGGGTCCACCTTAGATTTGTGAAGTGATATTGTGTGTGGAATTGGTTGAATCAGTGGGAGTAGCCATTAAGTTTATTTGCACAGCACAGTTCATACACAAGGAAACTCAAAGTGCTTAACAAAACGAGGCAGAAACATTCACACAAGGCGATAACATCATAAATATGCACAGTACATTAAAAATGGGGGAGATACAAAATTTCAGTCATATATACAGCTAAACAGAAAAGACAGGATTTTAGCTGCATAAATCTGAAATGCTGATTCCTCACGATTAGTCTTGTTTCCCGGCACCCGCAGAAGGCCAGACCCTGTGCTCCTCAAGGTCCCAGCAGGAAGCCAGACCCTCGGCTCCTCAGAGTCCTAGCAGGGGGCCAGACCTTGTGCTCCTCAGACTCCCAGCAGGAGGCCAGACCCTCTGCTCATCTGAGTCTCAGCAGGAGCCCTGAGATGGTTTATATGGCACTAATAATTAAGTTAAATAGAGATATTCATGTCAAAAAGTCAACTTCTTATGTCAGCATAGGGTGACCCACAACTCATGATCTGTCGGGGATTGGACCTGAAAACTCCACAGCTAAGCACTTATAACTCCCTCCATTAACTATGAAAAGAAAGATTATGTGGCATTGGGGCCAGCCTCGCAAAAAAGGTGTGGAAATATCTCTGTCACACGCTGATCTTGTGCAATGTAAGCAAGTGTGGCCTTTCATCCCATAAGACACCCGCGATCTTCCCTGGGAGTTCGACGGGGAAAAAATCCAATCATCCTGCAACCTTTTCAAGATTCCAGCCGTGAATGTCCACCCAAATTGAAACGCATAAGTACGGAGCACCCGCGGGCGTCGTGGGAGCACCCCGGGGTGAAGGCCTTCATCACAGGCCATCAGACTTTGAGCTTGTTATCTGTAATAGGTTTTTCATGTACAGAAGGGTGTCGTGGCTCATCTCGCAGTGCAAACCAACGCGAGGGGCCGGTGCACGCGTTTATTTGTTCGTTTTCGCCGCCTGTAATAGAATTCCTCTCCAGAATGTTCCACGGAGCAGTTTGCAGAGCAGCGGGGGAGCGAGGGATGCGCGGTGGTGGTAACTGGGGTTGCAGCTATTGTGTGGGACGGAAGTAAAGCTGGAGACTTGGAATAAAAGTATTAAAAGTGCAGCATGTCTCATTGGAAAACACAGGACCAGTCGTTCTGTGTTTGAGTGATAACATGTTTCAGAAAACGTTATTTCGGCCATTCTTGTTTTGGCCTTTCTTACATGAAAGTCGATCCTTGCCGACGTCGAAAGTGATGATCCCGGACATTTAAGGACTTTTGTTAACATGTATGTACAGTGGCTCTTATGTGTTTGTTATTATTGCATTTCCTGTGTGCAAACTGTTTGATTCTCGGATCGTTGCGGCTTCTGCAGTATTAGGGTCGCTAACAAAGCCTTTGTTTTACACCTCAATATATGAGGATGCAGTACAAGCAGCCAAAATGTGTTTACAATACAATACAATTTCTTCTTGTATGGCCCTAAATCACTACAGCAGTCATCTCAGAGGACTTAACAAAACCATTGAAATCACCAACACAGATCAGAGAATCAACACTTAAGACACATATGTATCGGTTCATATGAGACCAATATCCATGAATATGAGGAGTAGAGCTGCCCCTACTCCACGTGGAGAGGAGTCGGATTCGGATGCCTCCTGGACGCCTGGGAAGAGGCCCTTGAGGAAGACCCAGGACAAGCTGAATATGAATCAAAAGTCAATTTACTTGTGTAATTGAACTTACAATGTGAAATTAATATATGACAGACTCATTGTGACGCACAGTGACACATGTCAAGCATTTAATTGTTATTTAGTTTATAATTCTGACACACAGCTGTAAAAACCCCAAATAAATGATCATGTCACTTTGTAATGATCATATATACTTGAAGTTGAATTACATAAATGTATTAACTGATTCAGAGTGACACCTGTTTGTCTCTCGGCTTGGCCTGGCAATGCTTCTCTTGAATGAGCTAGACCAGCAGAAGTGTGCGTGGAGAGAGAGAAGTCTACGATTCGAGAAAACGTACACAATAAAACTGTGGTAATAACATTCCCACAAAAGATAATTGGCTCCAGTGTAAAAATGATCCTAGTAATAATGTCTCCTTTGCTTCCATAGCTCCAAAACACCTTCCTGGTTATGACTCAAAAGGACAGAAGTCAGAAAAGTTGTCGAATTTCATCAATAGAAACTCACCACAAAGATCTTTTCCTGATTTGCGTGTTCCTAAAAGTCACCATTGCCCGATAATCACAATTTTTGACCACTGAGAAGCCCACTCCTTTATCTTATGTATCTATATATATATACAGTTCATTAACCCTCCTTGGAAAACAGTATACTGGGATGTTTAGGCTGCAGTTTTAAAATACCAGCAGCTAATCATTTTCATAAAATTGCTGTGGCATACTGGTGCAAAACCTTTGTTCTCATGAAAGCTCTCATGTTTGCCATGTGGAATACAAATTGTGTAGGCGGACAGAGGTGATGGCACGAGGCTTTCTCTTGAAATGACAAGAAATGACTGTGATTTTCGGTGAGAGGTGATAAAGTACTCCAGTGCCATGTAATAACAGCAATCAGACTCAATTACACATACAGCCAGAGCACAGTGGGAGAAAATATTGAGGTGCGATCGATCAGGGCCGAGACCAAGGATTCTGCTGAATAACCTTCATATCACGCCTTAAATGTCACTTTAACTACTTATCCTGCTCTATATGTATATAACAATGCACTTTATACATAGAGATAATTTAAAAGATTGATGTTGAAGCATTCACAGCTAAAATAGCAGCTACTTATATTGTATATTTTGTGTGCTCCCTGTGTGTTCTCACTACTGTCCAGCTTGTGCGCTGCAACATTGAAATGTCTCCACAGTGGGATGAATAAAGTATCTCTAATCATATCTTATCTGATAATAAATACATCACTATATACAGTATAAATAAATAAATATATATTTCATCTCACTTAAGTCAACTATTCTTTATTAACGGACACATGTACTGACCCTGGGATCCTCTTCAGTCCTGCACCGCACAGCCTCAGTCCTCGTTCTGATATCAATGTGGACTTCCCGCAGGTTTCCCTTTTTTCCTCAATCTGTTTTTCTTGAGTTGTTTCTTGCCGATGCATGAGGGTCTAAGGACAGTGTTGATCCGGGGCATTTCAGGACATTTAAAACATTTATGGACACTGGTCACATACCGCTCCCTATGGACCAATGGCCTGTATGTGTTTGTTATTATCGCATTTTCTATGATTCGAAATGTTTGATTCTCTAAACATGTTGTTTGGCGAATCCACAACTTAGCAAAGTCCTCCGAGACGAGATTTCTATAATAGGGATTCAGGGCTGTAGAAAAATAAATTGACTTGAATTGAGTTCGATGAATGCAGTGTGGATCTGTCAATTTCTTTGTCTCATACTCTATAATAATAATAATTACTACACAATCTCTTTCAAATTAAATATAAAGCTGAGGCACTTATATTTTCCAGCTCAACAAACGCAAACCACGAAACAATCACAGCGGAAAGTGTTCTGGCTAAAATAAAGATGAGCAGACGCCTGTTGTGTCCACAGCGACATCCACGGCACTTACGGAACCTCTTTGTTCCTCTGATGACCGCACAGTAGGACCACGCTGCGGCAGATCAACCAGAAGAAAAGAAAATGGAGGGTAAAACACATGCTGGGTTTTCTGTACGCTACGACCCACAATGTGCTTCTGCGAGCAAGTCTCCATCACAGACTGTATGTGGAAAACATTAAAAATACATTATGAGAAGTTTGAAGACGTCACTAATGTATCCGCATTGTTTTTGGCCAAGAAGCCTTATAATGACACTATTTACTTTGTCATTTTGTGTTTTAGAATGTGAAATAATATCTAGAATTGAAAATATTTGGGGAAACAGGTATCAAGTGTCTGGGTGTCTCTGCTTAGACTGCTGCCCCCGCAACCCGGCAATGGATGAAGCGGAAGAAAATGGACGGAAGCATCAACAGCCACATCAAATCAGTAACATCAGCAAGTTTTGAACCATATGAAAAACATTGCCAGAATCAAAAGGACAGTGTCTAAAGCAGGCTTGAAGAATCTTGCTCACGGAGCGCTCTATACAACTGTAAAACGGTTGCAGTATTTTCAAAAACCAGAAAGTACGATCACATATAGTGCAGTTCTCAGGCCTCCTGCTGGGAATCTGAGGAGCACAGGGACTGGCCTCATTGCTGGGGTTCTGAGGAGCACAGGGACTGGCCTCCTGCTGGGAATCTGAGGAGCACAGGGACTGGCCTCCTGCTGGGAATCTGAGGAGCACAGGGACTGGCCTCCTGCTGGGACTCTGAGGAGCACAGGGACTGGCCTCCTACTGGGACTTTGAGGAGCACAGGGACTGGCCTCCTGCTGGGACTCTGAGGAGCACAGGGACTGGCCTCCTGCTGGGACTCTGAGGAGCACAGGGACTGGCCTCCTGCTGGGACTCTGAGGAGCACAGGGACTGGCCTCCTACTGGTGCCCAGAGTCAAGGCTGAACACGGGGAGACGGCAT